TATTTTATTACTTTCTCTCGGCCCAAGTTTATCTTCTACAGCAGTCATAGTTCGAGCCGAATTTACAATGAGCATCACATTCTAATATGGGCTTACAGAAATTAAATTTTGTCTATGTATTTTTAACAGGCCTAAATATATGTAAATTCTACAACTGCGAGTCACTACTTCTTTGGTATACATGAGCTTTTATAACGATAATTACATAGTGAAATATTAATAGATACCAGGAAAATTTCCTATGGCCCTGCGCCGGAAGAATCATATAGCCTAAACTGGATTAAAGAAAACTACTTCCTGGAAAGAAATAAACAAGACATGTGAGTTTCTAAGAAGTTAATACTTATGTGCAAACAACACATGCATCACGAACAAAGTTGTATAAAGTATATTCAATCTATCATCCGAATAGTTATGTGCTCACGCGAACCAATCACACAAATGGCATCAGTCACCAGCACTCACGAATGTAATGTCACTTCAATTTATAACGAAGCAAGTGGAAATTAGAAGTCAGTGTGCGCCACCGGTGAAAACCTCCAACGAGCGTCCTCACACATGGCTCGCCCTCTCCGATACATGTGCACGCAGGGCAAGCCGATCCCCGTCCATATCGGCCAACTGGGCTAATCCTCACTTCGACCAGTCCTCTCATTATTTTTCCAATTTCTCGATCCTCTTCTTTTTCCATATTAACATGAGGCAACTCCGGCTGGTCTCCATCCAATCTAGATCATCGAACGTGATCACAAACAGATGGCCACCCTGCGGTGCTTCAATTCAAATCTAGACAGATTATCAGGTGCGCCCAATAAGAAGCCACCCTGTGGTTTCCATATAATCAATATCATCCGGTGCACACCGGGGCGCCGATCTCCCATTTACCCTGCCTCACAGTCAAATTCCATATCATATCATAATTTAATCATATTCACGATCCACCGTCCTCACAAATCCATGGTGACCCACTTCATCCCAACTCCACAAAAACAAAGTATACCATTGTCACATCACAACTAATCAAGCATTGCAATTAAATGCAGACATATTGATCAATTAAACATCGTAACGCAATGCACAATTAGACATCCATACTCAAATGCAAATAAATGAATAAATAGTATTAACAATAAACAACAATGATAAAATAAATAATAATAATAAACAATAATAATGAAAATAAATAAATAATTGAATAATTAAATGAATAACTTAAGATGAATAACAATGATAAATTAATATAATAATCAGAAGTACTTTATTTATAGAATAATAAACTTATTAATTATATTATTAATTAAAACTAATCTAAGTTCTATCGAAATTTCGGCAACATCTCCCCTAAAAATGGGATTATCTACCTGCTTAAATATCAACAATGTTATATCCATCAACCATTACACACACAGCCCATCCATCGGGCAATCAAACAAATTAATTTCCCTTTCTCCGTCCAAAATAATCACATCAATATTTAATCGTCAATGACAAACTTCAACTTATTATATAAAAGTAAATAAATAAATAAGCAGATAAGTGAAAAATAGCTATTTGTTTAACATCAATTCTACTAGTTAAAACTATCCAACTGTATACTGTTAACAATCATATACACCTATAACTTATATATTCCTTGTCATAATTAACTGGGGTCTCAAGATTCAGTTTATTGACCTGTAAATCATTATCCTCACCAAACAAAACCATATGTACTAACTCATTTAACCGTGTGTCAATTATAATTAAAAATTTTTACACATCAAAATAGTAAGAAAATCTTAAAAGTACACTCGTTATATATATTTGTCCTTCTAAAACAACACAAGATCTCCATTTTAATCGTCTATCAAATATAAATAAGCATTTATATATCAACCAATATAGAAACTTGGAAATATACTCACTTATATATTTTTGTTGTTCTAAAACAATGCAAAGTCTAAGGTCATTGCTGCCAAAATACAAAAATTCATAGCTCTTCTATACTAAAATCATAGATTACGCAACAACTAACCCACCTTGCAAAAATTGAACTTACAACCTCATTCTTAGCTTTGATTAGTCAAAATTTATAAGGATCAATTTCATAACAGCTGATTGTATAAAAAGGATCAATTTCATATACAGCTGTCAAATATCGCAAAGGAATTAAAGTTTTTCTATCTAATAAATAATCATGGTCCACTCCAACTAACTAAGTCCAGGCGCAAGAATAGATTACATACCCTTAATTGTACCATGTCAAAACCAAAAAAAAAAAAAAAAATCAATAGAAATAATTGAAGATAGCTGCTGCCGAAAAAAACCTAAGGCAGAATCAAGGGTTTCTCGATCATAGAATCCATATGTATAGAACAGCGTAGTTATAATCATGTTTACCAAAACGAAAACTTAACTATCATGTAAATGCCCTGCATATCCAAGCAGAAAATTTTAAGCAATAGCTAAGGTGATGGTTCTGCTACCTAACCATCATTCTAAGTCTTTCATAGGACCTACCATAACACACCCAACTTAACACAATTTACCTTAAAAATGCAGTTATAGAGGTGTCAATTATAGTCAAAAAATCAAGATTTTTCCCAACTTCCAGTTCGTGTGACTAGTGTTTCAGGAAACCTAGCATTTCTCATGTCATAATTCTAACAACCCTTGATCTTCAAATGAGCTAGTTGAATTAAGACTAAATAATTGAAGGAAAAGGATCATATATAGAGCTCACCAAGGTTTTGAATGCGACTTTTACCCACTACGCTGCTGATCGCAGTTTCTTTGGTTCGCTGCGCCAAGCCGGAACGGGATGAGGAAGAGAGTGAAGAAGAGAAGATCGAATCTTCTTCTCCGACAAACTGACTGAATCGACGTCCGCTGCGACAAATCAGGCATGGAGCAAGGCTCGACGCGAACATTCCATCGAAATGTCGCGGCTCTCCTGCACCTCCTGCGTATGCCAGAGACGAAAGAGAGAAGGGATGGGAAGCCGGGATCTGCTGCGACGTGGAGGCGATGGCAAGGAGGCGCGGCGTTGGTCTTCGGTTGTCGGAAGAAGAGGAGGAGGAGGAGGAGAAGGTCGCGCGCTGGTGCTGGCGCAAGGAAGAAGAAGGGAAAGAAAAAAAAGAAAAAGAAAAAGAAACGAAGAAAAAAAAAAGAAAAGAAAGAAAAATCTTGGGCTTCTAGACCATTCCGGTTCGATTCGAACCGATTTGGTCTAATTTAATGATTCGGCTCGACTAATTTCAATTGATCCGTTGCTTGGTTTTCGAGTTTTCAAATTGGTTTATGGGTCCAGTTTAGCAATAATAAAATACTAGCTGGTATGATTTCATTGGTTGAAATAAAAAAAAAATTAGTTTTTAAATGAAAATTCTACGAAATTAAAATTGACAATAGAAATTCAAACATAAACGTGCATATATATCATTTGCAATAATAATTTCATATAAACCGCTTTTTTTATGATTTATCAAACTTTTTCTAATTTGATAGAGTAATAAAACTTAGAAGAGAAAAAAAATATCAATGTCGAAAATTGAAATTATAAAAAAGATTAATCTATTAATAAATATTGAAACGTTTGAATATTCATTGCTATTAAAGCTATTAATGCATGTTTTCACCGTTAACCTTCTCTATCGTTATTTTCAATATAAAATTTTCATTCATAATAATAAATTATAAGTATGTGTGATTATAATGGTATTCAATATCAATATTATAATAGTATTAATTTAAAAAAGAAGTTATAATACATATAAATATTATAATCAACATCAAAATTATGATAATTTTTAATTAAAAAATATATTATAATATTATAGTCCATCTTTCCTTTTTATTTGTTCCAAAATATGGTCCGTTTTTTTTTTATTATAAAACTGTCTATTATAACCTTATTAAATTTTGTTTTATTTTCAATAATTCTTATTAATTCTTACTAATTATTCCAATATAATTAATTGCTCATGTGTTACATAAGATGGACATAATATAAAGTTATATGAACAAAATTATCCTTTTAACCATAGTAATTACTACTTTTTAATCTGTGTGAAAATAGAAAAAGAATTATCTTTTTGGAACGGATGATGTAATATTTTTCAAAAGAAAAAAACTGTTACCATATAACCCCTCATTTTTTAATTTATTGAATCAGAAATTAAAAACAGGAAAAATAGAAAAGATAACAAATATATTAGTACCTAACCAGAAAATCACAGGGGTAGATACTCCACCATTAGACTGGGACTACTAATCCAATGGTCCGGGGGCGGAGCTCCTTTGGGGACTGAAGGGCGCCCAGGGCACTCCAAATTTGTTTTTTTTTTCAGAAAAAATTCCTTATGAAAAATTATATTTTGATCCTTCAAAATATAAAAAACATTATATTTGGCCCCCTTAAAAACATTATAATTGACACTCCAAAATAAGTATCCTAGCTTCATCCCCGCCATAGTCCCTTCTCAAAGCAAAACTCCTGTTATGGAATAGCTCAGAACCAGGTCACTATCTGAATGCATTTAAAGTCACATATGGCTTCTATTCTTTTCTTTGTGTCAAAGAAGACTTTTTGGTAGCATCCAACAAATTGAATGTCTTTTCACATCAATTTTGTTGAATTCCGTTCCACCAAGAGGGTTTTCCATTCCAAAAAGAAACACAGAAACAAAGGCCTTTTGTTCGTCCCACACAAAACTTGTTTGTCTCCTCACTTGTGCTCCAACTTGCACTTTCAAATCAAATAAACGAAATGCCATATAAAAGGAAAAATGATTCTATGCAACTGTAAATGCATGCATAATTTCACTATCAGACCCACAAAACATGCTAATCCAACGGTCGATATATGATATGAATATGTGCAAGTTCACATGGAATCAATCCCGACTTAGAATTGACTCCACAATAATTTTCAATGCGGAAGTAGCTTTCCCAATCCCATTTATGTTGCAGAATGTCTTTTAATCAGAACAAGTCATTAGGTAACTAAGTAGTGCATTACAAACCGAAAAAGGAGCTCCGTAAAGATTACATTTTGAAACATATAAGATTATTTCAAGAACACAAATACACAGAAACTAAAATTCATCAAGACTATGAGTGCCAAGTGTGAAATGGATATATTTATAATATTTCTTTTATAGGAGATAGATATAGAAGATCTTGTTATTTATAGTTTATAGAACATATATAAGAACAGCAATCCTAGTGATACACAATTCTGATTTGCATGCATATAATTCTTTCTGCGAGAAAATTTACATGGAATGAGACTCTGCTGAACAGTTCTGACCACCTTGTTCCTATATCAGATGCGTCGCAGGGATGCCAATCTTTTCTCTAGATCCTCAACATCAGGAGATTCAGAACTGCATTTAAATAAAAAGAAGCACATCATTGTATTGTTTTTTCAATATTTAAACCCTCATCCTCCACCAATTAAGAGAAGTAAATGTATATTCCGATCAAGAAATGTGAATATATTGACTCATTAACAATAAGTTTTACAGATGACTATTTCAATGTTTGCCAATACCATCACCATGGGGACCAGCTTCGCACAACTTCCGTTAGTTATGCTAGCTTGTTCTATGAATTTAAACATTCAGGGATCTAGAATATTTTGCTGGGGAAATTATGAAGTTAAATTAAATCTAATGGTTGCTAACTAAAACTTTCAAGTCCAAGCATAATAATCCTGGCACATGTTCAGCACGGATCACATCTCCGAACTTCATGGTCATTGGCAAATATGATGAAAAAGAAATGTTTCTTGTCATAACTAATGACATGTGGTATGTTTTTACCAAGAAAGAGCTAAAATATTTTAGTAGCCATTCCAAAAAACAGATTTCCTAAAGTGATGTTTTATTTGATATTTTTTTAATAATGATCTTCTCCTATGTACAAGTGTCGCACCTTTCTCAATGCTATCATATAGACCTTAGTTAAATTTTCTGATACCTTTTAACTACATTGGAAGCATTCTTCGCTGCAATTCGACCCTTTGGAGCTGAAGATAACTGTTAAGAAAAATATCAAGATTGATTTGTACCGGAAATTAAGAGAATTTAAGAATTAAGTTTGTTAGATGGTAAAATATTGATTGAAATATACCTGAGATGCAATGCCTACACCAATTTCATCGAGCACCTATAAAATTTCATGTGAATTAGAGATATATTTAAGATCATTAGGGTAAACTAGAGATAATAAGTAACATGCGGCAACCAATTTTTCACCTGGTTAGTAAGCTCCTCTGTTTCTTCTTCAGCCTCATCTTTGTCTAAAGTTTCATCAATGGATTCTGACATCATCTCAATCTGCAAAAAGGACAATGAATGGAATATTATGTTATATGCCAAGTACATACAATATAGAATACAGGTAGCATCCAAGTACTCCAACTAACTAATAGGGTAGTGATTGGAACTTGAAATATACAGCAGCCCATGTAGGCAGGCGAGATTTTAAGGAAAGGAAATATAATGGATACAGAGATTATTACCGTCATGTCCATTTGTGCTGACTGCTTCTGGAACTCTTTTATTACTTTAGCTTGTTTTGTTGGAGCCATTTGCTGAAAAGATGGGTTAGATAATGATAAAATTCGATTGATGGTAAAATAATGCTTGAATAAACTTTAGGCATTTGAAGAATAAAAACAATGAGTTCAGTAAATGACATTACCATTGTGAAGAATACATTGCATCAGACGCACAACAAAATCCAATTTACACCTCAGCTCCACAAAATTTTGATTTTAATAACACACACAGAATTTCAACTTTCCTATATCATTTCTAACACTCCTTATGAATTTCAAGGTGCTGGACCAGGCAACCAAAATTCTACCATTATGAATTTGATTGACTGTCTATCTAACAAGCAGGACGCATAGTTAATGAGAAAAATATACTCTAGCAACTCTGAAATTGATACCTTGTTCATTGCCACCATTGCCTTAGTTGCACCTTTCATCCCTGTAGAAATTGAAGTACTAGCATACAGTGCCTGTGAACCACAAGATACCAGGTTAAGAAAAATAACAGACAGCATTAAAATTGATAACATCTTGTCAACTAGCTTTTGCTGATAGATAGAACACTCACCTGTGTATGAGTAGCTACACCTCTAATTTGGGCACGACTACCCTGCAAATTTGTTATCTGTTGCCGTAGCCGAACAAGTTGACGTGCTAAGATCTTGGTGGCAGCCTAAGCAAATGCTTATGCAAAAGTAAATTAACAAAAGGTGAAGAAGCTATTTTGAGCATGCGTTAAGTAATACTAAATCAAGCTAAGGCTTCTGGCAAACTAAGTCACCTGAAAATGCATTGCATTATAAATATATAACAAAATATGCTCAACATGCACGCAACTGAAATTGGCTCCAAATTAAGATCCTTGAACAGTTTTTTCATGCTGGTCACCATTTTACCACAAACCCACGTGTTCCAATTTGTGAGTTGGAATGTGAATCCAGATATATCCCTTAATTCCAATCTAGGGCTACAATGATGTTTATCGTAGTGAGTTTTCCCTTGATATAACACTTCAATTTGTTAGTCAGAATGTGAAACCAGATAATAAAAATATAAAAGCATTTATTGATCCTTTTTTAGCCACTTTTTGCAGTGCCCGTTTTCACACGAACTCGGGCACTGTGGAATATTGGTGATCTAAAAGGTTTGATGCCATTATTACACTTTTATCTTTCTACTTCATTTTGTTGTAATTTTTTTAGCCACTTTGTTCTCGTTAATTTGAATTTGAGGGAATTTCATGAGACATAAGACTTATGTCTAGCTTTGCAAACTCGAATCATGCTTTATGTACTAGCCATATATGATCCTCTGACTTGTAAAGGAAAATGCGGTGCCAACTGGAAATGATAAATGATATTGCCAAGATTTACAATTAACTATAACTAACAAGTCAAACAATAATACATGGCAATATCCTTACAGTATAAGTTTCTAGTGGATTGCAGCCTACGTCCATTCCCACTAAACTACTTAACAAGAAAATAACTTGCCTCATTTCCAGTTTTAGCTGTTTGCTTGATCTCTGCGACTAATTTCTTTTCCTGAATCATATAACAGTAAAGTTAAGAAAAATAAATGATTGAGTCAGTATGCCAAAAAATTGCAACCAAAGTACATACATACCTCCAATTGAAGAGATGCAATTTCCCGCTCAATACCTATCAAAAAAAAAAGGGGGAGAAAAGAAAAGCAGATCAGCATCAACACAAGCTACAAATGAGCTTTAAATTTATTATGGCCTAATATTAAATCTGACCAACTTTGGCCAATTCTCTTGTGGTCCCTTGAACTTTGCAGGAGTTCAATCATGATCCTTCACTTTCATATTTTAGTAATAACTATGCCCCTCACTAAAATGAAATAACTTTGCAAGGGTTCAATTATGACCCTAGACTTTCACATTTCATTTTGGCGAGGGACATAGTTATTACTCAAATATGAAACTGCAGAGTCATGGTGGATCCCCTGCAAAGTTCAGGGAGTCAAATTTATGCATTATTCCATATAAAATTGTTTCTTTGTGTAGTATCTGTTGGCACCTCAAAATTATGCTCCTAAGGCAGGTTTCAGAAACAAAATATAAGTAGAAGAAAAGAAAATTCCTTGTTTTCAAAAGTTGCGAATGAATGTGGAATGTACATATTTTTGGTACTAATTTCAGGTGTACCCAGTATTCATCACGACATCCGATCTCATTTAGTGACCCTTGATTGATATGAACCAAACCTAGATGTAAAAAAGGGAAACCTAATACAAAAATAACATGGTTTCCTTTTCTTCTTCTAGTGTATAATATGTTCTCGAATTTAAAGTTCATCAACTTGCGAAATATTTTGAGATGCATTGGAAAGAATTCAATTTCCAGGCGAATACAAACACAATAGGAGCATGCGGAAAAAAAAAAGATTTGGATGAGGTTGATCTAAACTAAAGTAAAAAATGTATCAACCTCTCAAAAGAAATCCACCAGAAAAGGAAGCAATCATAGCGAGCATGGGTGAAAGGTTAAGAAGATATGATGATATAGGAAGCTGCATTCATTTCTATGTCACTAGAAATCAGCCTAAGGGCCAAACTCCAGCCCCATATTTGGTATATTTTATTTAATAAACAGCGATATTTAGACAAAATATACAATATGTGGAGAGCTCATCACCTCCTCTCCTTTTCTTGGTCCCTTGCCAAGGAAAGTAAAGGAGATGGTAATTTATTTATCAGAAAGGCCAAGTCTAACAGTAATATCACTGTAATTTTCATTTTCAGAATTCAACTTACTTGCCACTCTTGTGAAAAAAAAAAAAAAAAAAAAAAAAAAAAAAAAAAAAAAATTATCAACCCTCGTCAAAAGAAATCCACCAAAAAGGAGCAAATCATAGCGAGCATTGGGTGAAGGTTAAGAGATATGTAAATGATATTAGGTAAGCTGCATATTCATTTTCTTGGTCACTAGTAAATCAGCCTAGAAGGGCCAAACTCTCCAGCCCCATATTTGGTATATTTATTTAATAAACATGCGATTTTATTTAGACAAAATATACAATATGTGGAAGAGCTCAATTCACCTCCTCTCCTTTTCTGGTTCCCTGCCAAGGATAATAAAGGAGATGGTAATTTCATTTATCAGAAAGTGCCAAGTCCTAACAGTAAATTATCACTGTAATTTTTCATTTTGCAGTCAATTCCACACCACCTTACCTTGCCCACCTCAGTCTTCGGTGAAAAAAAAAAAAAAAAAAAAAAAAAAAAAAAAAAAAAACTTTAGTCAAGATTGCCTAAATTGGTAAGATCCTTGGAAAATAACAAAAAAAAAAAAAAAAAAAAAAAAAAAAAAAAAAAACTTTAGTTCAAGATTTGCTAAATTGGTGAAATCCTTGGAAATAACAAGAAAAATAAAATTAATGTGCAACAAGTATGACAAGAATTTTAAGATCTCGGATTTCTTAAATCTTGCAATTTCGAATTTTCATCCTACAGAAAAACATCCATAAAAGTAATTCAAATAAATTATGAACATTTTAAGGTTACAGATTTCTTTTCTGATTTAGAAATGCACAACTTGTTAAGTGCTAAACAAGAATTCAATTTTGAAATCAACAATAAAACCATTAACCGCGCATACCTCTGGTGGCAACAGCCATTTCTCTCTTGCTGGCCCGGAGAGCATCTGCCAAATTACAACAATAGCTCAATTCTCAATATCACTATATTAAATACAACCTATTAGCATCAACATCCAAGCAAAAGTTACGCTGAAAACCTAGCAATATCAAGTTAAAGCGAAAATGTTATAAATTTCACTGAGTGAGCAGGAGATTTGGAAAAACAAAAATGGGGGCAAAAAAAGAACACTACTTTAGCTCCATGAAATTATAAGCAAACCCAGAAAAAATTAGAAATTTCAGAATCAATGCAGAATAAACATGGAATCAACAAGAAAAACCAGAATAAAACGTACCCATTACCATTTCCATTTTCTAGAGAACAAAAAGTCAAAAGAACAAAATTAACCGATACAGGGATTGTGTCCAGATAAAAAGGAAGTACCTTTAGGAGAGGTTTTCTTCTTGAAGATGTTCATGGTGATCAGCGAAAGCAGAAGAGCTCCCTTCGGCTCGATTCTTCCTTTATAATCCCTTGTAAAAGTTAAAATCAGCTCCTTCTATTAAGAAAGGAAAAACCTTTGTTCTATATATGGCAACTGAACTGTATATTAAAAGTGAATCTTTTATTAAAGATCTTTTTTTCCTTCTTCTAATTGTTGTACCTTTTCCAGTTGATGAAGCGAAAATGGAAATCAGAAGGAGAGAGTGAGTTTGTGGGTGAACTGTGGACGGCTGGACGCCTTGGGGAGCGTGCTAAGGGCTTCCCACATATCCAACGGTAATAGTCCAACTAGCCGTTACAAATTCTTCAAATTTACTAGAATATCCTTAGGTGGCTAGGTGCTTTAACCTGTTGGCAGATTCCGTTTCTGTTCTTTTTTATTTTTCACATTGTAGTCCTAAGTTCTAAAATCATTGCAATTAAGCCCTTAAACTTTTTGGGTGTAATTGAACTGGCAATTTCAGTTTAATAAACCGGTAGCTCAAAGCCTTCGAAGACCTCGAATTGAAATTGAAATCGATCCTTACAGTGTGTTTGGATAACAATCTAGGGAGGAAAGCAAATATAAGAAGGACAATAAAGAGGAAAATAAAGAAGAATTTTTTTCTCTTCATGTTTGGATATTTGAGAGGAAAATAAGGAGGAAAAATGATTTTATGAATAGTAAAATTATGAATTTAACCTTTATTCTTTTCCAATAAAGCACAACAAATAGGGGTAAAATTATAATTTTATTCATTTTCCTTCAACTCCAAACTGACATGTGGATTCCATAATTCATTTTTCCTCCATATTTTCATTCCTCCCATATTATCTTCATTTCCAAACAAGTGAAGGAAAGAAAATTAATACTATTTTCCTCTCTAATTTTCTTTCCTCTCCTATCTTCCAACAATCCAAACATATTGTTAAAGTTTTGGTTTCGATCTTAGTTCAATCGGGTTTTTTAAATCAACAATGGAGGATTGGTTCTTATCTTAGTTCTAGTTTTATTTTTTTTCCCTATTTTTATTTTATTTTAGTTTAAAATCGAACCAAATCAAAACCACTAATTGAATGGATAATCTCGTACCGATTTCAATCTAAAAACCTTAAAGTGAGGAATTAAAACCATAACCAATCCCTTCCAATTTCGATTTGATTTAAAACCAAAATATTCAAATTGATTCCAATCTAGAATTTATGTAGTTCAATTCTTATTCGGTTTTGATCATAATCAGATTAATGACTATCTCTAACTTTGATTCAAATTTAGTTCTTTTATTCAATTAGCCTACTCTATATTAAGTTTGTGTTTGATTTATATCATAAAATAAACTGAGTCACTCGTGTACAGCTTATTGGTTTAATTCGCCCAAATTGAACCTAAAATTAACAATTAGAACTTAGGGTTTTGTAATGTAACTTTTTGGGCTAAGTGCAGATTGCAATAAAAGAGAGAAATTTTATTAACACCAAATTGTCAAGCTGGAGGATGAATAATTCGTTAATCTTCTATTTTTGACAACTATGCCTCAAAACTATTACCTGCAATTTCATATTTGATGAGAAAATAATACCGACTATGCCTCAATTATAATATAAATTAGTCATATACCCGCGCGATATGTGGACTGTATCATTTTTTAATTTTTAAATTAAATTGAATGAAATTTTCAAAAAAAATTAATGTAATTTATATTTGTATTGTCTTAATTTTCAAAAAAAGAATAATTCATATTGTATGCAATTAAATGTAATGATATGAGATTGATTGTAATTGATCATCATCAAGTGAAATGTTGAGAGGTGCAAATATTTGCATGATTGCATTATGTAGCAGCTTTTAAAGAATGAGAAAATGATGAAAATGTAAATAATTAATTGGTAGTCAAAAAATATTAAAGACCCCCCTAAACACATTTCTTCAAAATAGATTGCGAGAAACCTTATAAATAAATGTGTGTATATATATAAATATAAATAAATATTAATTTGTAAAAGGTGTTTAATTAATTTAATTTTTTAAGTTGAAGTGTTCAATAAAATAATTATATAACTTGAAGTGTTTAATAGGTATAATTTTATAAGTTAAAATGTTTAATGGATTAAAGTAAAAGTTGAAGGTACTACAAGGTTAAAATAATAAAATTTATGAGTGAATTTATGTACTTTAGGGGATTAGATTCTATAAATAAATAAATATTACTTTTTTTTAAATTTAAAAAGTACTTTAAATGGTTTAATTAAAATATTAGAATAAAAAAATTTTTAAATATTGCTAAAAAAGAAAAAACAGAATACTAGATAAAAAAGAGTCAAATTTGAAATTTCTTTTTATTTTAATTTTACTATATAAACATAGACACATATGAAAATACTGACATTGATAGACCTACAAAAATATGGAAAATATAAAGGCTATTCAAATATTTTCAAGGGAAAAGTACACTAGGATACTGTGGATTGCGAAATACAGCTAATCCGTCTTTGTATTTTTTAAAAATAGATTAAAATATTTTTATAGTTTACTTCTGGCAAACTATAAGGTCTTTCCATCCAATTTTTGTATTTTTTTCATTAAGTATCTTATAAAATGATGAAAATATCCTTTTCATTTTTAATAGCATAGAAATGGACTCGTTATATTTTTCAAATCATAGGGATTATACTTTAATTTTTTTGGTATAATATTTAGTATCCCTCATTTGACTTTTATGTTTTTTTGTTGACTTAACAGAAAAAATATAAAAAATGGATAGAAGGACCTAATAGTACAACGGAAGCAAAACATAGAGAAAAATTGATATATTTTAAAAAAGACAGTAATGAACTAATTATATTTCGCAAATCAAGTAAACGTAATGTAGTTTTCCCTATTTTTAAAAAAGAAAAATAAAATAGTAAAAAGAGAGAGACAAATTTCAATTTTCTTTCTTATTTCAGCTTTAATATAATAGACATAAATACAGATACGGATTACAGTGAGAGAAACTTCTACTGCAAATAAGTATCGAGACAAAGTGAATTCATGTGGGCCAAAGAAAGCTACACATTGGAATATCAAGCTATATGTTTGTGGAAGAAGAATGATAATATGCCAATTGACCAAAAGAACATGCTCTAACTGTTTGTTTTTCTTTCTGAACAAACAAATTTCTAAACCTAAAAAGATGATCAGTCATTTCTATCTTCTTCTTCTTCATCTTCTCTTTTATGTCTTCTTCCTTTGTTCTGTATCAAATGGGGAAGCGGAACCAATTGGCTATGGCTACAAAATTCAATCAGCTGGAATTGATGCCTCTGGAAAGCTTTTGAGAGCTGATCTTCAACTTATCAAGAATTCTTCCACTTTTGGCTCTGATCTTCAAAATCTCAACCTTATTGCCAGGTAAGCTTTGGTTCATTTCTCAAAACTATATATTATCACATTTACCAATTATTAATGTCTAAATTTTAAATACTTAATAATTTGATAGAAAAATATTAAATTTATAAAATATAAAAGGTGAAAAATAATTATTATTTCTTTTTTTCATAAAATGGATAATGGGTATTGTATTTTAATTTGCTAATCATGTCATCCTTCGAACTAATAGTTTCAAAATTTCAATCGTCTGGAACCAAGGAATTGGAATTAGTCCAGACTTATTTAGTTTCGATTTGATTTCTGGTTTTTAAGTCTCGGTCAATATTGACAAGTTGGGCCGGTTCCAAATTCCGATTTGAAATCCAGCTTTCAAAAGCACCCATTTCGAGTTGATTTCAGGTTGATTTTTCTCGAACCGGTTTTGATCCAAATCCTGCTGTGGCCAGGCTCTATTTAGAGATAACTAAGGGTATTCATTTTTCTGCTATAACTAATAAAATTTGAAGTCCAGAATTTCTTTACAAAATAAAATTTAGTTTAGTTATATTATATTTACAAAATTCAATTAATTTAATTTTGTTTATTCTTAACAGCTTCGATGCAAAAGACCGTTTGAGAATTCGAGTTTCAGATTCCAATAAGCAAAGATGGGAAATTCCACAAAAAATAATTCCCCGCCAAAATCTTAACTTAGCAGTAGTAAACCATCTCAGTTCATTTCAACACCAATATCTTTCACATCCCAAATCTGATCTAGTCTTCACTCTCTACAACACCATTCCTTTTGGCTTCTCTATAACACGCCGTTCCTCCGGCGATGTTCTTTTCAATGCCTTGCCGGACCCATCGGATTCCGGCACCTTTCTTGTTTTCAAAGACCAATATATCCAATTCTCCTCTTCCCTTCCTAAAAATAGGTCTTCCCTTTATGGGCTCGGGGAGCATACAAAAAAATCTTTCAAATTAGTGTCAAATGAGACCGAGACTTTGACTCTATGGAATGCTGATATTGCCAGTCTTAATCCTGATCTTAATCTCTATGGGTCCCATCCGTTTTACATGGATGTCAGATCGCCGTCACCCGACGGTAAGGTTGAAGCAGGGACTAGTCATGGGGTTTTGTTGCTTAATAGTAATGGTATGGATATAAGTTATGGAGGGGATAGAATTAGTTACAAGGTAATTGGTGGAATTATTGATTTGTATGTTTTCGCCGGGCCTTCCCCGGAGTTGGTAATGCAGCAATATACAAAGCTCATTGGCCGGCCTGCCCCTATGCCTTATTGGTCCTTTGGTAAGTTATAAGCCACACCCTCTTCTTGTATTCACCTGCAAATTCAAGTTAAAGATTATTACTTAACAATAGGTTGTTCTTATTTCCTTCTTATTATTACTTCTTGATGTTATTATTTGTGTTGTGAAGGGTTTCATCAATGTCGGTGGGGTTACCGGAATGTTTCCGATCTAGAAGGGGTTGTTGCAGGCTATGCAAAAGCTGGTATTCCTCTTGAAGTAATATGGACAGACATTGATTACATGGATGGATATAAAGATTTCACTCTTGATCCTATCAATTTTCCTCGAGAAAAAATGAAGAATTTTGTTGATACTCTTCACCAAAATGGTCAAAAATATGTGCTTATATTGGATCCTGGTATGTGGCAACTTTAAGAAAACAAAACTTTCTCTTCAGCTCAAATTTGCCCCAATTTTTTGAAAATTTTTAAACATCTTTCACAATGCTGGAATGAGTTCTTATGATTCCAATTCTGAATAGGTATTAGTGTGGACAGTACATATGCAACTTCTAAAAGAGGGATGGAAGCTGATATATTCATCAAACATGATGGCATTCCTTACGTGGGAAAGGTCTGGCCTGGATCGGTCTACTATCCGGACTTTTTACATCCGGCAGGCGAACAGTTTTGGAGTAATGAGATCAAATTGTTTAGAGATATTCTCCCCTTTGATGGTATTTGGCTTGATATGAATGAACTGTCCAATTTCATAACTTCCTCTCCTACACCATCCTCTACCCTTGATAATCCTCCTTACAAGATTAACAATTCCGGCGGTCAACTACCGATTAATTCTAGAACAATTCCGGCAACATCTTTACACTACGGTGATATTGTGGAGTACAATGTTCATAATCTTTACGGTTTTCTGGAATCAAAAGTTACTAATGCAGCTTTAATCAATGGGACAAATAAAAGGCCTTTCATTCTTTCTAGATCAACTTTTGTTGGTTCCGGTAAGTACACAGCACATTGGACTGGAGATAATGCTGCTTCGTGGGATGATTTAGCATACTCAATTCCTACTATATTGAATTTTGGATTGTTCGGAATTCCAATGGTCGGTGCTGACATTTGTGGCTTTGCTCGTGACACTACTGAAGAGCTCTGTCGTCGCTGGATTCAGGTGAAGCTTTGCTTCGCATAACCAATGAGTTTCTAAAACTGTCAGGTTGCATTTTTAAACTCCATCTAGAGCCTAATTAACGGAAATTCTTGAATACTTGTTATGATATGCAGCTAGGTGCATTTTACCCATTTGCAAGAGATCATTCTGCAAAGGACACAATCCGTCGAGAGCTTTATCTATGGGATTCTGTTGCTGCAACAGCTAAGAAGGTGCTTGGCCTTAGATACCAATTACTTCCCTACTTCTATACACTGATGTATGATGCACATACTAAAGGAATCCCTATAGCAAGGCCTCTATTCTTCTCATTCCCACAAGATATCAGAACTTATGAAATTAGCTCGCAGTTTCTGATCGGTAAAGGTGTAATGGTATCTCCGGTGCTAAAGCAAGGAGCAGTTTCAGTTGATGCATACTTTCCGGCTGGAAATTGGTTCGACCTTTTTAAGTACTCACATTCAATTAGTGTAAATTCAGGGAAGTACCTGAAACTTGATGCTCCGGCAGATCATATAAATGTGCATGTACGCGAAGGAAGCATTTTGGCATTGCAAGGAGAAGCAATGACAACCAAAGAAGCAAGAAAGACAGCATTCCATCTTCTAGTGGTCATTAGCAAAAGCGAAAACAGCACCGGGAAAGTTTACTTAGACGACGGTGAAAGTGTAGAGATGGGTGGGGAAGGAGAGAAGTGGAGTTTAGTGAAGTTTTCTGGTGAAGTATCAGGGAATGTCGTAACGATTAGATCAAATGTTATAAATGGAGAATATGCTTTGAGTCAAAAAAGGATCATAAGCAAAGTGACATTTATTGGATTAGATAAAGCCAAGGAGTTTAGGGGGCATGAATTGCTCACTAAAAATGAAAGGAGTGGAAATTCAGGTACAAGAGCAAGATTTTACAAGAACGAACAGTTTTCTACATTGGAGATGGAGGGATTTTCTTTGCTTTTAGGAGAGGAGTTTCAGTTAAAGCTGGCATTAGATCAGTAATGTAAGACTTGATTCTCTGCTGTTTATCAGGAATCTAAAATAGAATAAATAAAGAAAGCTATTATTGAGAAATTGCAAGTGCAATTGGATTTCATCTTAGTGAACTGTTTTGTGAAAGTGATTTTTCACTGAAAATATCTCCGTCTCTCTCCATATGTTGATGTGATCTGAGCCAGTGAGAGAGAAACAGGAAAATGAAAAACAGAAGCTGTTATCTTCAAACAAAAAAAATGTAAGCAAAACGACTAGTATTATCAAATGGATACCGCATTTCTAAAAGGAATATATGATAATCTTCACTGTCTGTGAATATGATATTTCCGTTGCTTCTACTTCGTTTATATTAAAGGAATGGAAAATTTTATTTTATTTTTTAACTTCAAGGTAAACAAGGAAAAAAGGAAAAAAAAAAAAAAAGGACTACATGAATTCACTTTAAACTTTACGACTTTAATCTTGTGACATACTGAAATTCACCGATGACTTATTATACACTTGAACTCGTAAATTTTGGTAAAATCACACCCTTTTTGACATTAATATCAATAGTTTTAAAGATGTTTTGGTTTTTATATGTAAAATATCGACTTGATACGTAGTTAGCGTGATTTTTGCAATAACAATTTTCATAAATTTTAACTTTTTAATAAGTGTTTCGTTGATCTAAATTTTAAAAATTAAAGTGTTGACTAGAATAATTTTGAAAATTGAAGTGTTTAATAAATGTAATTTTATAAGTTGAATTGTTTGATGGGTCAAAATAAAAATTAAGAATACCACAATATTAAAGTTACAAAGCTCATAGGTGAATTTATATATTTTATCACAAAAAAAAAAAAAAAAAAAACAAAAAAAAAAAAAAAAAAAAAGGAACGAAAAAAAAAAAAAAAAAAAAAAGGAACGAAAGAGAAGAAAAACCGTTATTGCCAGGCCGAATAAGGTTGGGTATGGATCGGGTATTACATTATCCTTCCTGTCCTATGATGCAATATATATTATCCAGCCACCATCCGCCCCACTACAAATCGAGGCGGAGCGGGTAACAGGTATTACATTATCCTTTCTGCCCTGTGGAGCAATATGTATTACCAACCAACCCACCATTCGCCTCGAGGCAGAGTGGGTAACGGATCAGGTCAAGTAACTCTATTTAAAAAAAGTTGAATTTTATTTTTCAAATTTTTATTATTTTACCCACTTAATTTACATAGTTTTGTATGGATTTATAATAAATGTTATTCAATATTGTATGTTGATTTCAATAAAATGAAAACAAAAAAGATATGTATAATAGCCATAATGAGAATAAAACAAATTTATAGTTCCACCTCAACATAATAAACAAAAGAAAAAATTCCAAAATAAAAAACTAATGGTTGAGAATATCAATAGTAAACTAAATAGCAAAATAAGAAATGTAGACATTGAAAGTATAAAAATTAAAAGAAATAGAAAACATAAATTGGAGGATGATAATTTGATTTGTTATTTACATTATTTGAACTTTCATGACATTTAAATTACTAACTCATTAGATTATATTAAGTTTTTTATTTATATATAAATTAAACAAAGCACAATTAAATAAAAATTTAACCGGACAGATTTCAAGTCGGGTTATGTATTATCCATTATTGAACTGAATCCATAGCGGGTATATTTTTTAATTTTGCCCCACTCCATTTATTCTATGGACCGGGCAAAACCCGCCCCATTGGAGTCAGATCGAAGCGGGTATCCACTAGTTTGAATTAAAATGTCATCCCTAAAGCTAAATGCAAAAATTCATCCTTAAGTTATGCAATAAACCCTGCATATCTTCAACTTTTATCTTGAATTATTAAATCCTTCTAACTTACAAAATTATATCTATCTTAAACACTTCAAATTGCAAAATATTTTATTAAACACCATAACTTGTAAAATTAGATCAATTAAATATTTATTGAATAATTAAAAAAAAAATTACAATAATCACACATCAAATCAATATTTTCCATTATTACTAAAATTCTTAACTTTAGGGGTCTAATAGACCATCGATAAAGTTTAGAGTCACAAGATTTTTCTCATAAAATAGAAGTTAGCCATTATTGCCATAATGCATTCATGAACACATCATTTGCAAAATCACATTTTGCTTTAGAGAAATAACTTGGATTATTTATAAACATTAGTCTTTTTTATGATGTACATTGCACGTTGACAATGCTTGTTATATTTTCATTTTTTATACTCTTTTAATTTTTTATTTATATAATATGAAATCATAAGTTTTGTTTAGATTAAAATAAATACAATTGGTTAATTTATATTAGATTTTGCCATATAAGCTATTTGCAATACTATTTCTTATGTACTTGATTCTATTGTTATATAATGAAGTGATCTCAAAATCTCTATACCTAATCCTTAAATTCCTAATTTATAAATACAGATTCTTAAAACCCTGATAAGTACTCAAAAAGAAAATCAAATTATCACTCAATCCCCAACTCTTGCCCTCACTCCCAAATTAATATCTATATATTACTATAATGAAAAATAATAATAAATTTTTTTTTTCTGATAGGTGAAAGAAAAGAAATGAAAAAATGATTTGAATTAATAATGATAATCATTTTGACTATAGTGATAGTATTACTTACCCAATGCATTAAAGAAAGGAATATATGAATATACATACAAATTTTTGAAACTCAAAAATGATCCAAAACAGAAATATATAGTTCTAGTTTGTTTTCAATTTCATAAACACTGTTTTCTTTCAAGTCAAACATATTTAGAATATAAAAAAATATCAAGAAAATTAAAAATGTTTAATCGAAAGGCCATCTATTTATTGTAAGGGAGATATAAATCTCTTACTAAATTAAAGTAACAGTGGTTACAAATTAATTCAATAACAAAAATAAAAAAAAAAAATTTTTATTAAGAAAAAAACTCTTTTAAGAACTTAACATATAACAAGAAATAATTATATTAAAAAAAATTATCAATTTGAATTTCAAAAATAACCTTGGAAATGCTATAATTTGATTTTGATGGACAAAAAAAAAAAAAAAAAAAAAAAAAAACCAAGTCAATAAAATGAATTACAAAGAAAATCATGGCTTACAATCTAATATTCGTCGTTAATGATTTTTATTTAAGTATTTGTGCTTCTCTTTTTGTTCTAAGTTTGCAAATTAACAGATATAAATAAGTTAATTAGTAAATAAATAAAATATCGATTATGAAAGAACGTTGTATTCTTTCTAAATGGAATCTACAATTCTTACAACATACCAAAAAAAAAAAAAAAAAAAAAAGAGAAGTACTTTTTTTTTCCTTTTATATATTATATATATATAAAATAATTTTTTAGAAGAAATTATATTCTATAATATATATATATATAAAATAATTTTTAGAAATTATATCTAATCAAATAATAAAATGTAATTTTTTTTTATCTTAACCATAGGTATTCTGAGCCAAGAAGGGATAAAGTGCTCCCAACGAGTATTTGCTCCATTCATAAGGATCGAACCCTCAACCCTATCTAAGAGAGAAGAGTGTCGAACCACACCCTCGACTCCACCTAAAGGAGAAGAGTGTCGAACACACATCCAAATACTCGTTGATATAAAATGTAATTTTCGGATTGGCTACAACTAACTGTTTTAAGATATTTTAAATTTTATTGAGAGCGACATCGGAAATCCTATTATTCTCCCCAATTCCCATATTTTTACATAATATAGATAAATTATAAAGATAAACAAATACTCAACTGACTCAATAATGGTTGGTTTAGAAAACTATCAATCCTCCCAACGTCATTACTTTGTTGCTCATATACATCAGTAGATTCACAGCAAGCTCAGAAGTAACGACACAAATAAACTCGCACCACATTTCAGATTATCTAGAAATCACAGTACAGCACAAAATCTTAGCAAAAGGTCATTTAATCTTCCACATATTGCGGCTGCTCATCTCTGTGATTGAGTGAAACTAGGCTTTCTTTAACAATAAAAACCCCATAGTACAAAGGAGAACCCTTCAGCCTAAGTTCCTTGACTTCTTGGGTGTTGGGAGTGCATAATTTCAATTGACCAGTGTCAGATTCTAGAATAAGTTGATCATTCTTCCAATACCCAATTGGATAAAGTAACTCAGGAAGAGGTCCAACCGTAATTTGTTTGATCCAAGATCCATCTTCCATCATTACCCATATATCTAAAATATTGTTCGTCATCTCATAAAGAAGCAAAGCTATTGAGTCATGGTATATTACAAGGGTCTCATGTGTTGCATAAAGCGAATAATATGGCACTTGGATCTCTTGAAACTCATCATTGCTCATATGAAATGAAAGGATCCTATTATCGAAGTTGTGTGATGCCAACCAATAATGAACTCCATTCAAGAATGTGTAACATGAACTAGAAGTGACAACGTAATCTTGACTTAATGTACCATGGGGCAAAGAGTAATCTTGGCCTATTTCTAATTCTCTCCAAACATTAGTGCCAAAAGTGTGCAACATAACTTGGGCAAAAAAGTGGTATTCAGATAAAAATCCTTGAATAACAAGCACCTTGAAATTGTTAGTTATGGGATCCAACCCAAATCCACAAATATCTCCCCCAGAAGTCAATGGAACAGGAAGGCTGGGCTTAGCTAGTGTAGCTGGTAGATGTTGTAATTCCTTAGTTGCAGGATTCCACAGAGCATAAGACGATCCATCACTTACACAAAATATGCCATTGCAAGGGCCATGAAGCTTAGAAAATGGGATTGGTAGACCAAAGTGCTGATGTGATAGATCTTCTAGTGTTTCATCTAAGAAAAGTTCAACCAAATCATCAGCATATGGAGAGACGTAATAGTGAACAAGGAGATGACAACTGTTTTTCTTCTTAAAGTGCTGAGAAATGAAATCAGAACTTCTTATAGTAGCACACCAAGATTTGGAAACACATTTGAACCGCATTAGACTTTTAACTGGCAACAGTGTGAGAATATCAATTGCCAAATCTTTTGGCAAAATATTTTGACTGTTGCTCGCCATTGCTATAGTTTGTTGGTCTCTCAAAGTCCTTGATCAGTCCTTTTCATGAATCATGATGATTGTAAGAGCATAATACCCAGAAGATAAATAAATAAACTTCCAAATTGAATTGTCAATGAAAATTTTCTAGAACCTGACAGTGAAAAATAATAAAGAATGGCACAAAATAAATTCTTCAGAGAAAAAAGAAGAAAAGAAGATATTTTCTCTTACCTACAGTCCGTTGTTTTACTCTCCTCTACCACTGATATCTCTTCTTCCTATCATCAATCATTCTGCAGTTAACATACAGCGCAGGAATCACAATACGATCGAAAAGAAAAGGGAAAAATAAAAAAATAAAAACACACAAACAAACACACAACTCTCTAATCAGGCTGCTGGGAGTGCAAGCCAACTTCAAAGCCAAACAATACCAAAAGCCAACTTCCATGGTCTAAAAAATGGCAAAAGAACTTAATGGCAGCATTTCGTGTTTTAGGATTGAAGATTTGCAGAACTTACGATAAATTAGACCTAATTTTCTAATTTGGGAAAGAGAAATTCATAGCAAAAAAAATCGGAAAAAATCGCCAAAAATGAAATAGAAATTAAGAAAGAAAACTTACCTGCAGATTATATGATTTAGAGTTCTAAGCTCAACTGAGCAGCTCTCCTCTTGATAATAAGAAAGAAGACGAATTAAAGACAAGGAGAAATGACAAGGTATCAGGAAACTCCATAGTTATTTTATAGACAGAATGGATTTTTTTGAAGGTGAATTATCATGTAATCCCTATTATTTAGTGGGAAAATAATTATTTAATCCCTGAATTTTGACCAAATTAATCGAAAAAAAGACAAAAATACTTATAATTGTCCACCATAAAAAAAAAAAAAAAAAAAAAATGCTATAATTGTTCCACCATAAAAAAAAAAAAAAAAAAAATCAAAAAGTCAAAAAATATTGACACCCAAAATAGAAACGCACACACTCTTTTTTAAACTCCAAGGATCATTGAGAAAGCAAAAATATTTGAGATCAATTTCATGTGTAAACATATGCACGCAACACAATTCCATAGGAGGTCCATGACGATATATGATCTCGATAATCTAGTATATCAGAATCAATATCGGTTGACAGCTCATTATCATTTAAAAAAAAAAAAAAAAAAAAATCAAAAGTCAAAAATATTGAAAACCCAAATAGACGCACACACTCTTTTAACTCCACAGGATCATTGAAAGCAAAATATTTGAGATCAATTCATGGTAAATATGCACCACCAATTCCATCTGGAGGGCCATGACGTTAAGATCCGAATCAGAATCAAAATCAAAATCAGTTAGAGCCATATCTTCGGGTAACCCGAGAAGCAAACGGATCATCTAGGTTTGATATCTACTGCGAGAATCTTCCAAATAGCATACTCCTTAGCCATGGAGGAAGCTCTAAAGTGAGGAATCCAATTATTGGATTTTGAAATTCCGTAAAGATTTTATTAGTCTAACTCATAATATCAACATCAGCACAATTTGGCACGGTTGAATCCAGATTGTTCAGATTGGGTCGAGATGAAATTTTGAATGCCTTAGGCCATGTGTATTGTTGTTGAGGTATATTCAAATGATTTCTTTCAAATCAAATGATTTGTGTTATTTTATGAAAGCAAAAGAAAATCAATAAATTTGTGGAAAATGAACGAATTTACTCAGAGACCAAGAATACCTTTGCTCTTTTGCTTCAACTAAATGATGAAAAACACCAATACTTCCTTATTGGATCTCCGTTCTAGTTTCAAACAGAAAAATGGATGTTTTTTTGCTATTTTTATAATGTATTTCTGATATTTTATCGAGAGGTTGTGTTCCTTTTCTTAATATAATTTTTAGCTCAAACATCCATGTACATAGTTTTGTTGGGATACTGTGGGTGTAAGTCCCAAAAATGAAAAAAAAAAAAAATTTCTTTTAATAAGGTTACCATGTGTGTGGGTCCCAGAAATGAAAAATAGTGTGATGTTCTCATAACATGGGTACGTTAGTCTTTTTATATATAAAAAAGGAAAAATCAACCTTTCCCTTATTTAGTGACATTTATAGATTTATAGATTAATGCTTTTATTTTTTTAAAAATTTAATTAAATAATACTTCTATTTCATTTTATTTAGTTTAATATTTTTTTTTTGCTAATTTTGTGATGAAATCTTAGTTTTATTTGTAATTAAGTTTTCAAATTTTTTACATACTGTCACCAAAATCAACCCCTAAGTTTTTCTTTTCTTTTTTTATTTTAAAATCATATATTCTAATTTCTAATTTTTTTATTTGATTAAAAAAAAGCAAAAAAGAAAAATCTTAACAGAAAACTATTTAGTTGAATAATACCAAAATAAACAAATTATTTATTTGATTTCGGAAAACATATATCGTGATTTGCAAAATTACTAAATTATATTTGACTAAATAATCATACGGAGTCCATTGTATATTTGCTATTTAATTAATAAAAAATAAGTTACTATGTTTTTGTTTATCTTATATATACTTTTGCTCATAGGAAGCCATTGAGCCATAAGTTCCCCATGCTTTTCCATAATTTATTCGCAAAAAAGTGCAAATATTTCATTTTCTGTTCTTTTTATATAGGCACAACTGATTTTTCACTAATATTAAGGAATTACTTAAACTAACTTTTTTTTTTTTTTTTTTTACCTATATTACTCCTAAAATCACATTAATTACCCATCCAAAATGCAAATATCATTTATTCACGTTTTTTCGGTTAATATAACTGTAAATACATTGTCTCTCTTAAATTTTGGAGGGATTAGCTGTGTTTATTGCTTAATTAATAGGATATTAACTTATCATATTAGAAGAAGTGAAAATTCAAAATTCTAAAACTTAATTTTCGGTTCATTGAAATTTTTTACGCACAAAAATTAACCAAAATTTAACCATTTGAATTATCGAGTCTCCTCGATTTCATAAAAATGTGGGACATAAATTTGGATTGGAATACAACTAGAAATTGCAATTCATAACTTTTTCTTCCAACATGAATCCACCAAATGAATTAGACTTCAATGATTTTCCTCAGACTTGCCCACAAACTCAGAAGTTGTCCCCATATGCAATGAACTTTCAATTGATTTGAACATTTCTCTAATATAATAAGAGGCTTATTAGAGAGACAATTGAAAATCATCCACCTAAAAATGCAAGAAACACAAACAAACACTAAACAATCACATGGATATTTCATAGTATGATACACAGTAAATTTAATTATTTCTCCATCAAATTTTATATTGAATGTGCCATTAGAAGCATCAATTTTTTCTCCAGCTGTGCTAAGAAAGAGGCTTCCAAGCAAAAGTTCGAATAAATTAGAGGATTTATCATCCTTCGTATCAAGTACACAAAAGTCAACTGGAAAAATCAACTCATTTACTTGTACCAAAACATCCTCCAATACCCCTTCGGTGTAAACTATGGACCAACATTTAAAGAAGAATAAATCATTTATTCAATAGCCCAAAGTCACACATAGCTCTTTTTATTCCAATATTGACTATTTTACATGAAATAGCACATACCTCGATCATTGTATTTAGTTGGGTAATTTTTTTTTGCAACATAACAGAAATATTCTCCACCACACTTATCTTCTAATAACCAGCCAACTTCTTTTTATTCATAAAAAGTTCCTTTAAAAACTTTGCATAGCAGGAAACTTGCTAGATTGCGTCAAGCAATGACATATTCACACCCAAGTTACATATAGTTTCTAAGATTTCTTTTTCTTCCTTATTCATCTTTGATTTAGCTAGTATTTCAGAAAAAAGGAGGCTGAATTACTAGCTGCTCCGGTTGGTTCACTTTGAACTTTTCAATCTATCCATTTTGCTGAATTTTACTGAATTTTGCTTCTTTTTTAGCATATTTCCTTGAGCTACTGTCACGTTTCTCTGGGGCCGGAGTTCCCAACTCTTGTCCATTTTTTTAACGTGATTGGGCTTACATGTTGCTTAGGGTTAATGACAATTTGAGAAGGTAACTTCTCTTGGGATTCCAATTTACTCGAAGAGGTTGTTGTTTATCGATGCAGAAATCATGTATTACGTACAATAGTAAAAGCTTTATATTAATATGGTATAAAAAGTAGTTTTCTCAAACTGAATAATTTTTACCAATAAAGTTATTAAAATGAGAAAAAGAAAAAAAAATAGTTAAACAAGTTAAATTTTCAATAATAGAAAATAAAAATTATATTAAAATTGAATAATCCAAATTTAAGTTATTTTAAATAATTGTCTTTGACAGTAATAATATAAAAATGTTTACATTTTAAGTTACCTATAGGCTACATTCTACCATGAAAGCTACGCGTTGTCGTTTTATGTTTGTGAAGTTAGACCATTAGTGTAGACTCTTCTATGTATCGCATAAATACTTACATTTTTGGGCTCTTCTCTTTCGATATAAAACATACATTTTCACTAACTGTAATTCCCTATCTTGAAAGTTGATGGAGATACACAAAAATACTAACAAACCAACAATATCTCACCTGTTAGGATAGAGGCAATAAAAATTACGAAAATAATTAAGCAGCGGAAAAATTAAAATGGGACACACAAAAATTTACGTGGTTCACCCTTAACTGTTTAGGGCTATGTCCAAAAGTGTTGATTGGAGACTATCACAAAAATTCAATACCTATACAAACCGCATACATATATCTCACCATGTTAGTATCGATTGATCTAGAAGCAATAAAAAATTTCGAAAATAATTAAAGAGCAGCGGAAAAAATTAAAATGGGACACACAAAATTTACGTGGTTTCACCCTTAACTGTTTTAGGCTAGTGTCCACGGGACCAACTCCGAATATTTCTATCCAACTATTTTAAAACAGTATAGGGCTATACACACCAAAGAGAATTATACAAAATTAGTCAGTTGGGCCACTCACAAGTGTTTTCCCCAAAAAAAAAAAAAAAAACGCGTTAAATATTAATTAATTTTCACTTATATTACTACAACCCCTTAGTTTAGACATATAACTATTTTCTAAACCCTTAGTTTTAAGAACCCTCTTAAAACTGAAACTCTCTAACGCTGAGATTGTTCTCTCCGTTGGTGTGTTGAAACGAGGCAGACCCTCTCCTATTTATAGGAGAAGAAAACGCGTCCACCAAAACCTAACGCGTAGAAACGTGTTAAATGAGCTGTGTATAGCTCATTTAAGTTGCACCGCTTGCCTCCTTTTTTGAATTCTTCTGCCTACAAAATTTGCTACCCCCAAGGCTTTACATTTTGTCAAAATTGCCTGACTTTAGAAATGTTTTGCTGCCAACTTTGATTCCTTCCATTTTTAACTTTAGTGTGTAGGTTCCACTTGAGTGGACACCACCACAACAAATCTCCCCCTGCACACTCAAATGGGGACGTTAGCCATCATCATCCCTGCAGTTATCCGACAGTATTCGAACTTTTCCTTTGAAAGAATCATCGTCAACATGACTGATCCATTTTCTCCTGTATGGATCTTCTCAAGCTGTAACAACTTCATCTCCAACATCGTCAACATGACTGATCCATTTTCTCCTGTATGGATCTTCTCAAGCTGTAACAACTTCATCTCCAACACATCCCTGATCTAGTGATAGAATGAAAGGAGGAATTCTTTCCAAGGTGAATTGCGTTTTGACTGTCACAAAATATCCGATATCGTTCTTGATGAATTCCGAGTTCATTCAAGAATTTCTTTATCCACAGCAACTGTTTGCACGCTTCAGTAATCTTGACTGCCACGACACGACTCCCCCTACAAATGTGATTGGATATCCTGAAAATCCATTTCACTGCAGTCCAATATTCCTTTCCAAGATTTGAAAGAAACTGACTCACTACTCCAACTGAGTGAGCAATATCTGGCAGTGTACAAACCATGGCATACATCAAGTTTCCAACTGCTGAAGCTTATAAAACCTTTTCCTTTTCTTCCTTCTCTCCATCGGTAGAAGGGCACTGTTTAGAACTTAATTTAAAGTGATTAGTAAGAGGACAACTAATCGCTTTTGCGTTCCCCATTCTAAACCTTTGAAGTACTTTCACAATGTACTTCTCCTGTGACAATAATAATTTCTTGGCTCTTCGATCCCTTGTAATCTTCATGCCAAGAATCTGCTTTGCTGGTCCCAAGTCTTTCAAAACAAAAGACTTACTTAGCTGTTTCTTCAAGCTATTAATTCTGACAGAATTCTGACCAACAATCAACATATCAACCACATAGAGCAAAAACAATGTATATATCAACCACATAGAGCAAAAACAATGTAGTCATCATCAGAGAATTTCTTCATAGAAACATAGTGATCTGAAGTAGTCTTTCTGTAGCCTTGCTCGCCCATAACAGACTCAAACTTCTTGTACCATTGTCTTAGTGCCTGCTTCAAGCCGTACAGGCTCTTCTTTAGTTTCCAAACACAATCCTCTTTTTCTACGAAACCCTCTGGTTGCTCCATTTATATTTCTTCTTCCAAATCTCCATGTAGGAAGGTAGTCTTTCCATCCATTTACTCGATTTTCAGATTAAAACTGGCGGCCGTTCCGAGCACTGTCTGAATGGATGTCATTTCACAACTGGTGAAAATTGGACTGGTGAAAAGATCAAGAATCAGAATAGCCTCTTTCTTTGAATTGGAATCCTTTTCACAACCAGCTATGCTTTTTGAATCGTGGTTTGGGAGCTGTGTTCTTTCCTCCTTGATGTCCTGAACAGCCACTTGTTCTTCAAAGCTTTCTTGGCATTTAGGCAGATAAGCTTCACCAGCTCAAATTGTTTCATCCTCATGCAAGACTTGTGTCTATGTGTGTCA